AGAGAGAGAGAGAGAGAGAGAGAGAGAGAGAGAGAGAGAGAGAGAGAGAGAGAGAGAGAGAGAGAGAGAGAGAGCGCCAGGCTTGCACAGACACATTTTGAAATTCAGCCACTGTTCACTTCGTTCACCTCTCCAAAACACTCTTAATCCCTGTAAACTGGCCTCTTGGGCTATGGAGGCGGCCCCTTGTCGGCTTCTGCCCCGCCCTAACCTCTTTCATCTCCCTGCCCTCCCCGCCCCATCCTGCCCAGTCCCTCCTTCTCCCCGATCGTCTCCTCCCTCACTTCCCGGGTCCGGTAGCCCTCACTAAGTCGACCGTAGGAGAAGCAGGGAGCAGCGAACCTTGGACAGTGCTACGGGGAGAAGTTGGAGCCAGGTAAAATCCCACCCTCCCAGGGCCTCGGGGGCTGAAGGAGGCAGGAAACGCCCCACCCTTCCTTCACGCCTTCTTTGAGATCGAAACTTTCAGGAGCCCCGGGATTCCTTTGGAGCAGCAAATAGATTCCATGGAGTGGGGTTCCCCTGGAGTTCACTAACCCAGACTCTGCATTTTGAGCCCTGAATGAGCCAGGCAACTAGTTATACACAGAGATGGGGCTCTTTGTGGCCACACGTGGACAAGACAGTGCAAAGGGCCGAGGGTGAGCAGCCACAGTTAAGCCGATTTGGTTCAGCAGAATGAGGGAGGAACGGGGAGGGGGGGTTGTGGTAACTATAGCCCCAGCCCTTGTCAAGGTCATCAGTGCTTAGAGCAAAACAGACACCTGAATGAAGGTGCAGAGCTGAGGCATCTGGCAGTCAGGAAGCTGGGGTCCTGTTGGTAGTATGGCATTGGAAGGAAGTACCCCAAGGTCCCTGGTGGAAGGGATTGAGAATTGAAAATCGAGAGCTGGCAGTTTTTGCCAGGATGAGCTGTGTGCCCAGCCAAGACCTTATCTGATAGTGGGGACCCCCCCCCCAATCAGGCAGTACTGCTCTGGGGTGCAGTAGGGAGGGATTGGCACAGACTAGACAGGACAATGAGCCTGTTATCTCCAAAGGCACTATGAAGGAGGACTCCGTGCAGGGACTCAACTCAGTTTCTGATCCCCAGGTGGACATGAGAGTCAGTGTGGCTTGGGTCCTAGGCCTAGCCTGGGCCACGAGTCTACCAGGGACCCAAAGGGTCTTAGGGATGACTGGAAGTGATGGTGGTGTTGGTAGCCCCAAATGCCTGGGTTTGGGGCAAGCCAATGAGGAGCCCAAGTTCAATGGAGCACCAGGTTGGTGCAGACTCCATTCTACTGGTAAGTGATATCCCTCCCCTTTCCAATATTCCTAGGCTAGACAGATGGTTCCCCCCTCTCTCCAGACTTCCCACCTCCCTGAATTCATTCAGGAAAACCACACACACACACACACACACCCCTCACCCATAGGCTGATTCAGGTCACCACAATCTTGTTTCCCACCCAGGGAGGCCTCATCTGCACCCACAGCCCCTCTCATATGATCCTGAGCTGAAGAATTTCAGGGGAGGGCAGACCCTTCTGACACCCTCCATCACATATGCCAAGCCCCTCTTTCAGTGCAACTTACCCTTTTTCTTCCTTCTACTTCAGGCTCCCCCATAATGGCAGGCATCTGCCTGATTTGGGATCGATGTGGGGGCCTGAGCCCCAGGTGAGTGCAGCCCTATTCCCTCCACTTCTGGACCACCCTGGAATAGATCAGTAATTAATACACTAGAAGATTTGCATGTGTTTTTTTTTTTTACATGATTTGAAGACATTCTGGGACCCAGTCATAGAGAGTCCTCATATCACTTAAAGTCTAACCTAGGAAAAAATGCCTGGACTTTGCTTACTTCTCCCTCTGTAAACCCTACACCCCCTGCTTCCCTAGCCCAGTATGCATCTGGGGAGTTGGTTTTCTTTTTCTTTTTTTCCTTGAGGCAATTGGGGTTAAGTGATTTGCTCAGGGTCACACAGCTAGTAAGTGTCAGAGATCAGGTTTCAACTAAGGTCCTCTTGACTTCAGGGCAGGTGCTCTATCCACTGCACCACCTAGCTGCCCCACGTGGGGTCAGTTTTCTGAGGCTCCACATTCTCCAATCTCTTTTGGGCTCTTCCAGGTGTGAATCCTTCCTCCAAAATCTCTCCCATTTCCTCCACTGCTCACCACTGGCAGGCAACTGGACCCATCTGGAGAGGCATGGGAGTATCCGGGCCTTGCCAATCTGTGCTGCCTTCTGTGACCAGTGGTAAGACAGGGATAAGCTCAAGTGTATGGGTAAGGACTGAAGAGGAGTTACCTTAGTGGAGAAGTGGATCCTACTGCAGTTAGGAGTCTGGAGCAGTTGTAGGGGAAGGACCTGACATGGGGAGAAGTACAGGAATGACTCAGTACTAAGGGTTAGTAAGGAAGGTAGATATTTCAATTAAGGTGCATTGAAGCCTGCATCTTCAAATCCTTTCCTGACCAGGATGATGCTACTACTGGTCTAGCTTCAGTAGAGGGTGGAGGAAGCTCAAACCCCAGTAGGTCATTCCACATGGGGCCATGGTGATTAAATTTCAGAGGCAGGAAGGATTGGGGCACCTTTGTGTGGTGAGGTATAGAGACCTGCCTGGCAGTATGTAGCCCAGGGAGATTGGTCTAAGGAGGCTGTGGGAAACAAAGTTGGTTGAGTGGGACCACAAGGCAGAGGATTCTGAATGCCTAGTTCAACTTGTAGCCATGGAGTATTTTTGACTAAAAATGTGTGTGGTCAGAGCTTGACTTCAGGAAGGTAAATATAACTGCTTAGGACAGGATTCAGAAAGACAGAGAAAGATGGATGCTGAGGAGAGGTTAGCTGTCCAGGCAAGAGGAGGGAGCAAGAGTCCAGGGCTGGGAAGTCAAGATTCTGGTGCTCCACTCCTGGCTGTTTAGTTTTGACAGCAAATATGAGGCCCTTTCTGGTCTGGGGTGTGGAGATAAAGGTTGGAGACTAGACAACCTAAGTCCCTTCCATTTCTGAAACCATGATTTCCTAGTTCTTTCTCTCCCTACTCAGGTTTTCGGCCTGCAGAGATGATCTGGCCTGTGGTCGGAATTGGCTCTCCCAACCAGAAGGAGGGAGCTGTGAGGGCGGCTGTCTCACCTTTGACCAGGTGAGAACCCACCAGAAGTCCAGTCCTGAATGACCACAGGGGCTGCCAGGTCATGTCCCTCCATACTCTCCCATGGTCTTGGCCCAGCCCCTCCCTCATGTTCACACCTATCCTGCCTCCAAATATTGGCTAGGTCCTTTCTTGCTTGCTTTGGCTTTGGCCTAGGTTCCTTTATAGAGACAGTAAAGATGAACCTCCCCTCCTCTCTTGCCCCCCTTCCATATCTGGCACTCACTCTATGAGTGGGGCCTTGGCTCTCTGGCAGTCCTAGAACCTACTTCATCAACAGTTATTGCTCAGCCTCTCTTTTCCTCTTAGTCTCACCCTCCTACCTCGTTCTCCCACTTAATGTGGATCTAGTTGCCCCCACCCCCCATCCACTATTGATTATGTTCTAACCTGGGTTGATCCTGCAGACCTTTCTGGACGCCAAAGACCTGTGTGGTTCTGCGCTGGGACACTACCTGGTTGCTGCACCTGCTCCCTGTCCCTGCCTTCAGCTCTCCATCTCTGACCCTAAGCCGCCTGACCCAGACGCCCTATTAGACATCGCCTGCCCAGCCTGGCCACTGCCCCGACCTCGAGGGCGCCAGAGCAACCGGCTCAAACGCGCGCTGCTCCTCCCGCCTGGGGGAGTCGGCAGTGGCAGCGGCAGCGGCAGCGGCAGCGGCCCTTAGAGGGTGCGCTCTGCCCGGGTGCGGGAGGCGAGAAGAGGAAGGAAGGAAGGAAGATTTAGGGTTGAGAGCTGGGAGCCTTGACAGCCATTCAGCACCTGGGTGGAATCAGTGAGAAGTCCCCTCTCATCTGCCCTTCCCCCCCAACTCCAGCTACTGGCTTTGCGACGCTGCGCCGCCAGATTTTGTTCTCAGACTCCGGAGTTAAGCACTCACTCCTCGAATAAAATGCCCAGCTGCAGAGCCCAAGACTCAGTTGTTTCTTGGTGGGGGGGGGGGTGCCTAGGAGGCATTATAGTCTAGGGGTCTCCCCAGACTCCACAGGCTGTAATCTGAGGGATAGGGGATGGAGCATGGGACTCCCCCTACTCCTACATTGCTCCAGTCTTTAATACCTATACATCAGCCCCAGCAGGTGGAAAGATTAACACAATATATGTTACAGGGGCAACAGATCTCCACCCCAGGTTTGAGCCTTTTCCCTGCTATGACAGTGGAAAGAATACTTGATTTGGAGTCAAAGGACCTGGGTTAGAATCCAAATTCTGGTTGTTGCTACCTATGCAACATTGGGGAAGTCATTTAGAATTCCTGGGTCTATTTTCTCATTTGTAAAAGGAAGGGGTTGGATTGCTCTCTCAGAGGCTTGACTTGTGCCATAGCCTTCCTCTATTTTGATTTAGGTTATTCCCCACCCCATTCCCATCCTGCACCCCCACTTCATCTAACAAATCCCTTCAACCATATGTCGTTCTCCAAAGTGATCAGTCTTTTCCCTGAAACTAATGGTTCCTGGCTCTGGACTTATTTGGGACCAAGTCCTGGGAGTCTGGCCTCTCAAAGACAGGTCACTTTTTCACATTTGTCTCTGGCTTACTCATTATACCCCCATTCCAGAATAGGTGTATGGGATGTTCAGGGAGGATTAGCACCTCTAGAGTGAAGGCTTGCTGAGCCCTTTTCAGGGATGCATATCTACCTTTGGTATCCACCTGGCATTCAACTCTCACCTGTGGCTCCAAGAATCTGTAGCATGCACAGCAACCACACCCCACAAAACCATTTCTGCAGATAGGCTGAACCAGGTTGAGGGTAACTGACAGGCCTCAAACCTGTCAGTGAGTTAGAGGGATATCTATTCCAAACATGTGAAGACTTCCCATGGCAGAAAGGGTGGATGAGAACAATTTGTTCCAATGGCCATGAAGGCAGCTGAAGCAGATGCTATGGAGTGTTTAGAGCTTGGTCAGATACTGAAAACACCAAGGGCATCCACTACATCCTGAGCCATTGCCAGTCATCTTGACTTTTATCTTGCCACTGGACTTTGATGACTCTGGATGAGGCTGACAACTTTGCCCAACTCTGCTTCACTTAAATCCAGTTCACGCACAAGTCAAGACATCACCCCATCATGTCACTGTCACTTCAAAAGCAAAGGATCAACAACAGCAACAACAGACCCCAGAACAGAATTTTGTGGGGTTCGTCTCATGTCTATGTTTCTCCAAAAGTGAGTGACAGTATCCCATCTAGAAAGGTATTCAATAGGGTATAGGAAAAATTTATTCCCTCCACTACAAAAGAAATGTTAAACACACACACACACACACACACACACACACACACACACATACACACACGAGACTTATGAGCCCATATTAACAACTACTTCAACCATGAAACAGTAACTCCTAACTCCTATACTCCCTACAGGTTGATGCTTAAAACACTGTAGGATTTTGTACTGTCCAAACAGCACATTCAAGGTCCAGATCTTCCGGTAAGTCACGGCAAACTTGTTAGATTTGTCCTCTTGACCAAGTGATCATCTGCTTCTTTGAAGAGATTAGAAATCATCTCTTGCTGCCAGGCACCCAGACTTCAATGACTCTAGACATCATAAGTCCCCTATATAGATTGCCAAGGTTTGAAATGTCCATCTCAGGATCACTGTTTGGTCATTTGTGCTCAGGGAGGGAAACATGAAGCAGAATATGCTACTAGAGTTTTGAGAAGCACTCAGACTTAACTAGAAGAAGCACATGCTCATTTTTAAAATTTACGATTATAAAACTCTAAACTTAAATATGAAAAAGGAGGATATTTATAAAAATCCAGTAGAATATAAAAATAGGATTCTATATAAAACTGAATCTCCATTTCATGCCACATGCTTTTATTCTTTTGTATTTTAAAAATACATTTTTATTGGAGTCCTACCAAATTATTTTTATGACACAAATATGGTGCTGATACCTAAACCAGGAAGAGCCAAAACAGAGAACGAAAATTATAAACCAATTTCCCTAATGAATATAGATGCAACAAAATTAAATAAAGTGTTAGCAAAGAAATTACAGGAATTTATCACCAGGATAATATGCTATGATCAGATGAGGTTTATACCAGAAATGCAGGGCTGGTTCAATATTAGGAAAATTATCAGCATAATTGACCATATCAGTAACAAAACTAACAGAAATCATATGAATATTTCAATAGATGCAGAAAAAGCTTTTGACAAAATACAGCACCCATTCCTATTAAAAACCACTGGAGAGCATAGGAGTAAATGAAATTTTCCTTTAAACAACAAGTAGTACCTATCTAAAACCATCAGCAAGCATTATATGTAGTGGGAATAAGCTAGAAGCCTTCCAAATAAGATCAGACATGAAGCAAAGATGCCCATTATCATCACTATTATTCAATATTGTATTAGAAATGTTAACTTTAGCAATAAGGGAAGAAAAAGAAATTGAAGGAATTAGAATAGGCAATGAGGAAACAAAACTACCATTCGTGGCAGATGAAATGTTGATATACTTAGAGAATCCTAGAGAATCAACTAAAAAAACTTCCTGAAATAATTAACAACCTTAGCCAAGTTGCAGGATATGGAATAAACCCTCATAAATCATCAGCATTTCTGTGTAGTATTAACAAAGCCCAGCAGTAAGAGATAGAAAGAGAAATTCCATTTAAAGTAACTGTAGACAATATAAAATATTTGGGAGTCTACTTGCCAAGACAAACCCAGGAACTAAATGAACATAATTACAAAACACTTTTCACACAAATAAAGTCAAATCTAAACAATTGGAAAAATATCAATTGCTCATGAGTAGGCCTAACTAATACAATAAAAATGACAATTCTACCTAAATTAATTTGCTTATTCAGTGCCATAACAATCAAGCTACCAAAAATTATTTTATAGAGCTAGAAAACAACATAACAAACTCCATCTGAAAGAACAAAAGATCAAGAATATCAAGGGAATTAATGATGCAAAGGAAGGTGGTCTAGCTGTACCAGATCTACACCTGTATTATAAAGTGGCAATCATCAGAACTATTTGGTACTGGCTAAGAGAGTAGGGGATCAGTGGAATAGGTTAGGTACACAACACACAGTAATAAATTACTATAGTAATCTACTGTTAGATAAACTGAAAGATTCCAGCTTCTGGAATAAGAACTCAATATTTGACAAAAACTGCTGGGAAAACTGGAAATTGGTATGGTGGGAACTAGGCATAGACCAACATCTCACACCATATACCAAGATAAGGTCAAAATGGGTACATGTTTTAGACATAAAGGGTGATACCATAAACAAATTAGGAGAGCAAGGAATAGTTTACCTGTCAGATCTATGGAGAAGGAAAGAATTTATGACCAAACAAGAGATAGAGAACATTATGAAATGCAACGTGGATAATTTTGATTACATTAAATTAAAAAGATTTTGCACAAACAAAGGCAACACAACCAAGATTAGAAAGAAATTGGGAAATAATTTTTTACAGCAAGTGTTTCAGATAAATGCTTCATTTCTCAAATATATAGAGAACTAAGTCAAATTTATAAGAATACAAGTCATTCCCCAATTGATAAATGGTCAAAGGATATGAATAGTCAGTTTTCAGATGAAGAAATTAAAGCTATCTATAGTCATAGGAAAGAATACTCTAAATCTCTATTGATTAGAGAAATGCAAATTACAACAACTCTGAGGTACCACATCACACCTATCAGATTGAGTAACATAACAAAACAGGAAAATGATAAATGTTGAAGAAGTTGTGGGAAAATTGAAACACTAATGCATTGTTGGTAGAGTTGTGAACTGATCCAGCCATTCTGGAGAGCAATTTGGAACTATGCCCAAAAGTCTATAAAACTGTGCAAACCCTTTGATCCAGCAATAGTACTACTAGGTCATATCCCAAAGAGATCAAAGGAAAAGGAAAAGGACCCATTTGTACAAAAATATTTATATCAGCTCTTTTTATGGTGTTAAAGAATTGGAAATTAAGGGGATACCCATCAATTGGGGAAAGGTTGAACAAGTTGTGGTATATGAATGTAATGGAATACTATTGTTCTATAAGAAATGATGAGCAGGATGCTTTCAGAAAAACCTGGAAAAACTGACATGATCTAATGCTGAGTGAAGTGGGCAGAACCAGGAGAACATTGTACACAGTAATAGCCATCTTGGGAGATGACTAATATTGATAGACTTAGCCCTTCTCAGCAGGGCAAGGATCTAAGCCATCTCCAAAGGCTTCATGATGGAAAATGCTATCCACATCCAAAGAAAGAACTATGGAGTTTGAATGCAAATCAAAGCATACTATTTTCACTTTGCTATTTTTTTCTTTTGTTGTGTTTTGTTTCCTCTTTCTAGTGGTTTCTCCTATTGATCATAATTCTTACTGACAACATCGCTAATGTGAAAATATGTTTAATAGGAATGTATAGGTATAGCCTATATCAAATTTTGTGCCATCTTGGGGATGGAGGCAGGGAGGAAGGGGAATAAAAATTTAAAACTTGAAAGCTTATGGAAGTGATTGTTGATAAATCAGAATAAATTAATAACAAATTTTTTTTAAATGCTATCCACATCCAGAGAAAGAACTATGGAGTCTGAATGCAAATCAAAGCATACTATTTTCACTTTTTTTCTTATGGTTTTTCCCTTTTGGTCTA